GGGGGGGGGGGGGTTAGGTGTTTAGGAGTTTGGTGGTTTGCGGATCTAGAATCTAGAGTTTGGTTTCGGAAAAGTAGTTCTGAGAAGTAGTTCTACAGAGGTTAGAGGAGATGATAAATATCTATATCCATCTAGAGAAACAAATATGTAGCGAGGCCAACATTGGATTTAGAGTTTGCAGCCGTATGAGAGGTGGGAGTTGGTGCACCAAGTAAGGGTCCTTGGATTCGGGTGTTATATGCGGAAACCCCCAATGTTGCAGTCTGTTGCTTTCTTGCGGTGGGTGAAGGGACTTCGCAAAGAATGCTGCGTTTCCTTCTTGAGGCGTGCCGGACGTCGCGGGCTTGCACAAATGCTAAACCCGCAGCTCTCAAACAGGGCATGTCAAGCATAGAAGGCATTCGAGCCCCAGGCCATGTCCAGATCAGATGGCTTCCTAGCTGTTCGATATTCTACAAAGCCTTTAAGACCCCTTGCAAGGCGTGCCCGAAACCCCGCATCCTAAACCGATGGATTTCCGGTCCCAACACATGCATGGCCGACATTGCAGGATTGAGGTGGCAATTTGCACATGACCTGCGTTGAGTCTAAAAAGTTGCCGGACTTATCTTTAGCAATCAAGCTATCTCGAAACAGGTACATGTAGCGAGCCATGACTGCTACGATTGATGCAGAGATGGTGCTCGGTCTCATACAAATCGGCGATCTGCAAGGGTTGCAGGAGTTCAGCCCGCGCGGTTTTGACTGGGCACAGCCTTTATGCAACCACAAACTGCCTGCACTCATTCGAGCAATAGACACAGGTGTTCCTGATAGGGAGCTACACGATCAGTGCCTTGCCATTGTGGAATGGCTGCTGAAGGTTGGGGCTGATCCAGCACAGAGGCTTCCTGGCGATTGCAACTATTATCGTGCGCTGTACGACAGCCATGACAGAGAAGCAACAGAAATTCACGTTGAATATGCCGGACATTCTTCCATGTCTCTTGCTGTTACATGGCTTGGAAGGCTGAAGCTGCGCAAAGGCGGCACGCACTGGTCAAACGAAGAGAACTATATGAAACGGGTCATTGCTCTTCTTTCGCGCTCGGCTGCCACCAAGAATCCCCGAGCTGCAGAGGTCACCGTGCCCCAGGGTACCTTCGACTTGTGGGAGTCAATGCGTGACTTGACCACCTCGCACAGCGTGATTTTCGAATGCTCAGACGGAAAGGTGTCGGCACACGACCAGATCTTGATGTTAGCTTCGCCCGTCTTGACAGCCATGCTCACGTCTGCAATGAAGGAGGGCTCCAGCTGGCTCATTCAAGTTAAGGATTCCTCATACTCGGGCGTCTCGCTGTTCCTGGATGTCTTGTACACCAGTTCCACTCGCACGGATCCTGACCACGAGACCATGCTTGTGGCTCTAGACTTGGCCCACCGCTGGCAAGTCCACAGTGTCGTGCAAGCCTTGTGCTCTGCACTGTGCGACATGATCGACGTCAAGAGCTTCGCGGCTATCGCGGAAGCTGCAGTTCTGAAGGGGCTGGAAGTGCTGCAGAGAGCATGTGCCTCCTTCGGCTCGACAGACAAGCAAGTGCAAGGAATGCTCACGAAAGGTAGTCTCCCGGCAGCTGTGCGGAAGCTGCTCGGAGAGTCTGAGCATGCAAGCAGTGAGCAGCAAGAGCCGAAGAAGCGACGGCTTTTCCGCTGATTACATGAATATCGTCTTTCTCAATTCCTTGGGCATTGAAACTTTTTGTGCAGTGATGCAAAGAAAAAGGCACCTTGACAGACGTGTCCCGTCACATGCTCGCACTTCCCGAAGTTTGCAGCGTCTGCTGGTCCTCTGCAGTATTTCCAACGAGTCCTTGAAAAGGTTCTGCTGACTATCAGCCATATAGAAGTTTGGCATGTCTGATACACCCATAGTCAGTCTCCACTATAGTTTCACTTTTGGTTCAACCCACCCTTACATGTAAGCGCCTCTAAGGTGACCCAAAAGAAGAATTTCTTATAGAAACTATATGGGTAGTTGTCAAAATTATGGTCCCTTTTGGGGTACCCTAAATAATAGGTGCCGTATTATAATAAGGACCCAAAAAGGGACCCTAATTTTGACAACCACCCATATAGCCAGGCCCCAAGATATTTGGAAGCTTACTTGGAAGTGAACGAAGTGTTGTCAGCTTCGGCCCTCACCGTCCTAAGTCCATGCTTCATCTGTTGATCTTCTGGCCAGCAGCAAGATATGCAACATCATATTCTCGAACATACCCCGATCATGAGCCGTAAGCCTTACATCTACATCCCTTAGACCCGAAAACGGCTGAAACCCTAGCCCAGAGAAGGTCTGGTGCGGCCTTTGCACGCCTTCACACCGGAGGGCCACCTGGTGCTGTGGAGCTCCCGGTGGTTTGCGTGTCTCAGTCACAGTTCCACTAGGTCTTGAGGTTAGGGCTTGAAGGTGTAGTATGTAATGTTTGGGTATACGGTTTAGGGGCCACATCTTATAGACACATGAGGATCCTGTGTGTTTTCTGTTTTGGGGGATACAAAAGGCAGGCCCCCTTCTGGAGTCGTTCGTTTGGGAGGAGCACTGATGCAGCGAGGTTTAGGGTATGTGGTTTTTGTGGATGAGCGTTCGTTTTTGGAACCGAGTTGAATAGGGGTTCTTTTCGCAAGGTAACGGGTGACGATTGCACGGCAAGGATTCATACGAATTGTGATTCCTGAGGTCGCCCCTGACGGAGCACATGCCTTACTCAAAAGGACAGCTTGCTGGGTGGGTCTGGGGTTTTGTGCGGCACAGGGAAGTTGCACAATGCCTTCACTTGTCGGCGGTTCGGTTGCGGTTGTCTTGCAGAAGTGCATAAGGTGTCTGAGTCAAAGAAACATGCAAACCAGAGGCACTACCAAGACGCCAGGTACGGCAATCTCACCGAGAGAGAGTAAGAAATTGATTATTTCTATCTGAGCATCCCCATGACCTTCCCTAACCCCCCAGGTACCTACTATATAGGGTACTGGAGCCCCTAGGGCCCTATATAATAGGTATTTGGGGGGTTAGGGCTTTCCATGTAACAGCATCTCTTCACGGAAAGTTGAGCAGCTACGTGCCAGCTGACATTCCCAGCAGGCATGAAGCTGCAACTCCACTGTTTCAGTCGAGAAACGGCGGATGGCCCGGAATCTCCGTGTGGGTGGTTGTCAAAATTATGGTCCCTTTTTGGGTCCTTATTATAATACGGCACCTATTATTTAGGGTACCCCAAAAGGGATCATAATTTTGACAACTACCCGTGTGTTTCAGTGCATGCAGCTGTAGTTGGGGAATGAGCTGTGAAGACCCGGCCTTGTGCTAAGTGGACTCGTTAGTAGACATATTCCCTTATAGTCCTTATAACCTGCGCCCCAAAACCTTATTGTAATGATTCGTTTCCCTGTGCTACAAAGGGGTATGCAATTCTGGGCTCCGGCTGCGCATGCTTCCATGCAAGCAGTCATGGAATCTTTAAGCAGCGGAGACCGCGACCCTGAAGGGCCTTAGTAGTTGGAATTGCTTTTTTTTGTTGGAGGGAACCCTTAACCCTGAACCCGTTGGTATATTGAACTCTTGGCGAGAAGGGTGTGGTGTTACTCTCTATCCCTCAGAACCTCATGACTGAAGAGCTGCAGCCTCAGACCTCACGAAACCTACATCCTAGGCCGCAGGCCCCCCTAAACCCTAAACCCTAAACCCCCTAGATCCCAAAATCTGCAACCCCCGATCCGGTCTCGGATGCCTCTCCTTGCCGCCTCGAGACTCGGCCCTTAGCTGCAGTCTGATCCGCGGGGCCCAGTGCCGCTTTGCCGAATTCGCTTTAGGGTTTAGGGTTTAGGGTTTAGGGTTTAGGGTTTAGGGTTTAGGGTTTAGGGTCTAGGGTCTAGGGTTTAGGGTTTAGGGTTTAGGGTTTAGGGGCTTGGTGGTATTAGGGGGCCGAGGGATCAAGGTCTAGTTAGGATGTGAGGATGCAAGCGGAGTGAAACTCTTGTGGGGTTTTGGGGTTTTACGTATGCGGGTGCGCTTCGACTCTGTCATCTTTAGTGTTGTTGGTGCGACTCTGACTGGTTAAGGACCAGTGGGAGCACGACCAGGAATTCCAATGCCTGTCAGTCATCTCTGCTCATCAGATCCATCGTTGCCGCAGTCTGAATTAGGACCCGGGCACATTATAGCTTTTTGTCCGCAGGATTTGAGAGAAAATCCTCCACATGTAGGATTACTGCAAGGCCCAGGGCCAGAAACTCAGGGCGTAGGCCTCAGGTAGGGTTTGAGGTACAGCAAGATCCGAAGCTTCTGTGCAAGGTTGTGCTGTGAAGCTCTCAGGATGAGCGAATGTCCAGCAACCCTCGCTCTGCCCCATAGTGATTGATGGCAGTATATAGTTCTGTCAGTATCCGACTTCACGATTCATGCTGTGCTTGATTCCACCCACATGTGTTTACGCATGTGTTTTCATGTACTGGTCCTGCTTTGCCATTACTTGTTCTTGCCTACCACGAGATCTCTGATGCTTGTTCCGCTCGTCGTTGGCATTGTTGCTCACTTGAGTCTGCAGTCCTTTTCGCTTGTTGACGTTTCGTACGCTCCCTTAAAGTTCGTGCGGTTCTTCTTCGTCTTCTTCTCCGCGTGGTAAGATGGCCCACACTTTGCCGCTCCGGAGGCCCCGCCGCGGCCCCATGGACGCGCCACACCTCCCGCTCAGACAGACAGACTGTCTGGAGGACCTCTTAGAGGCGTATGAGCGCGTACATACATGCTTGGCTTACATGCAATCATGCAGGCATACACACAAAAAATGCCATAAACCTATACAGACCTACATGCGTTCACCGTGCACAAAGCCCTGAGCCAAGATCCCTGTGATAGTTTGAGGTTTTGGGTTCGTTTTTGGGCCTCTGGGTGCGGGCTCAGTCCCTGTACTCAAAACACAGCAGCCTCGATGCAGCCCACCCAAGCAAAGCCGATGGACTTACAGCGCGTAGGAGCGAAAACGTCCTTCGATCCAATGGAAGTACCTATATGGTCTCCATTTTAATTCCTTTTGCGGTTACCTCATAGGATCCTGAATATAAAGCTGGTTAACCCGTATAACCCAACAAAGCAACCACAAGATGAAGACTATATCGACTTGGAGGTTCATGGGTAGTTATAAGTGGAGTTATAAGTCCCCTAATATCGGTTATAACTATAGTTACCCTACTAAAAACCTTGCTAAAAGCTACCCATGAACCTCCAAGTACCAACTGACTCTTTGAAGGCCGCCTCCCCTGTGCGAGCCGCCTCCTACAGCCACCGAAGTCACCTGCTCGCAGTACTTGTGATCTCTTTATGGTGTTGAGTTTCGGGCTCAGGGTTAATTGTGGTCCCGAACAGCAGAAAGCGCGCGTTTTGCGGCGGTGGGTGCTTCGGGGTCCAGCTTCGGTCGTGGGAACTTTGAAGTTGTGTTCAGCTTTTGTGCAAATAGAAACTGGCAAGTGGAAGAGTTGAACACGGCCCCGTTGGAGTCATTTACGGTCCATGGTTCTCGTAGTGATCTCCCGGCTGTAACATGTTACCAGCCTCTCTGTGCGTCGGATGACAAATGCTGACGATGCAAGCCTTCTCGTGCCATGCCGCTCTGGCTGTCAGAACAACGACTGCCAATGTCAAAAGCAGACGCTTGCGAAGAACCAGTCGCAGTGCTTGTGCCGACGATTGTAGCAAGCTGTCACACGATGTGTTTAGTTCTGCACACATGTTACAACGCGCAGTATATCGTAAAATTTGGCAGGAACGACCTGTCTCATGACGATTTGTGAGGGTCTCTGTGAAATCTTGTTGCCGGGGTCGCTAGCAAACTGCACCAATGCGATGCTTGAAGAAACACTCCGGTGCGGCGCGGCGCTTTTTGGTCCTTTTCCTCCTGTGTCGCCAACTGTTCAACGGAATGGCTAGCGGTGCACCCTTCTTTCACTGCCTGGCCCCGAATTTCCACCTAAGCCACTGAAACTGCGGTGTCGTGGTTGTACACGTGGAGATGTTTGAGCATGTAGTCTTCGATCCTATCGAAATCAAGGCTCGCATCTGGCATATGATCCTCACAGACCGAAGGTTGTACTTTGTTGGCTTGCAGGAAATTGTACTTTGTTGGCTTGCATGATGTCACATCGTTTTTTGCAGGAGTGCGAGCAGCAGCATGTCTTGGATCTTGCTTACGTTTCATGGTGCTGCCGAGTGCAAACGAAAATGAAGAAGATGATGATGATGATGGTGGCGGTGATGATTATGATGACGTGATTTTTGTGAGTCTGGTCCGGTCCCTGATGACTGCCGTTCCGACACCTGTAGTTACCAACGTCGGGGTTGCATCGTCGATTATCCTTTGGTCTTTTGCTTTCATGTCGTGTCGAACAGCCTGTCGAGTGTGCGCAGATGTCACCACCTCGGTCGTACCCGCTAGCTTCCACAATTCATGCCCCGGACCCGAAGTGTCGTGTTGAAGTTCACTCCGAAACACTTAACCTGCAGCGGAATGCAGCCAAACAGGCTTCTTGGAGAGAAATGCCAAGACCGGCTTCTGCGTCGCTGCAACCGCTGGGGGCATCGCAGTTCTTCTGGGCTCGGCATTGTGGATGGGTAGGTCGTCATTGCAAAGATCGAGCCTTGACTGAACCAACGGAGTTTGTGGTTCGGTCTCATGCCCTTCAATATTACGAAGGCTTCGAGTGTTATCCTGTGTGAGCCCTGCACAGAGCCCTAGGAACACATCTGCCCGGTGTGGTTCCGTCACCGAAGTAGTGCAGAAGGAAGCAGCTTAGACCCTAAACCCTAAACCCAAAGTAAGGTGGACAGGTTCCCCAAAACCTCAGGCATATTCTGCCAGGGACCGAGCAAGAACTCCAAAAGTCGGCTTGGTACTCTGTTGCGGAATGTTGCGGGCATCATGGTTCCATCATGTTCCCAGCCGGAGATCTTAGATTCAGGATTCTTGTACTTGGAGGTTCATGGGTAGTTATACGTGGAGTTATAAGTCCCCTAACATAGGTTATAACTGTAGTTTCCCTACTTATCACCCTACTTATACCTGCCCATGAACCTCCAAGTCGAGGCGGAGTTGCCATGCTTCCTTCTCTGCGCAATAGCCAAGCGGTGTCAGATTTCACGGGCGGATCCGAGACCTCGAAGCTATCATCAGCCCCCGTCCTGCGACAGAAAATGCGGGCTTTCCACATCATGGTCTGTTTTCAAGTCCCTGCTGCAACTACATACGACGATAGCTACCTTCAGATGGAAGCTTTTCCGATCAGAACGCTCAATCAATACCAAGGGAGTTCGCCAACCTTTCTGAGAAAGACTTGATGCAGTGTGGTCGGCAGCTCAAGTGGAAGGCTTGTGCGGCAGCTCTCGACTCATCGCCTCTTACGAACCCGAAAAACTTTCAGACCGAACAGCAGGGGTCGGGGCTGTTGAAGACTCTTCGGAAATGGGTTTGGGGATCAGGGGTTCAGGGAGTTTCAAGCGGTTTAAGCGTAAAGGGTTTACGGTTTCCAGGCTTTGAGGTCTCTGGCTGGGGGCCCAACACTCTCCGAGGTGGTCACAGGTGGACTCTGAGAGAACACGCAGGATTTGGCGTAAGGGCTTTGTACAACTACCTTGAATGGTTGGAGCAGTGTCTTGCGACAGAAGTGGACCAAGTCCCGATACGAAGGAGCTTCTGATTCAGAGCCTCAGTTTTCATGGTGCCTCTTTGAAGTTACTCCCCTGCTGCAATTTGCCGCTTGGAGGCCAAAGCTTCGGATATCCCGATCTCCATAGAAAATCCTCCCAAAGATAGCTACTGTCGGCACTGGTCTTCGAGTGTTCACCTGCTGATTGTGGTATGGTTTCTATATAGTGTGGTCTGAGTTGTATGTATATATATATACATATACATATGTATATATATATATATTATATATATATATATATATATGCATACACGTTTATCAAAATATGTGTAAATACGTATTTATCTTTTTATAGTTTGTGTATATAGTATATATATATATATATAGTACATCTATAGTGTGTATATATATATATAGAGTATATGTATAAATATATATATATATATATGTAACACAAATACATACATTGTCCAGCGCGCTAACTGGGCCTACCCGAATGTGCTGCCCCTGGCGCCAGTTACATTCGGACCTCTGCTTGGCGGTGAAGGGTCCGGATGCCTACAGTGGCGTGGATGCCCCTGTCCTCAATAGGGTGCCGTATTATTTTGAGGACCTAACAAGGGATCCTCATCTTTAGAGAACTACTCATATGGGTCAGATATAAGGGAAGTAGATCAAGACAAGCCCTCTTGATGGTGTTTGCATTGCTGGTCATGTTGGCTTCCCATCGGCTGGGAAGGTGTTTGCGAGGCCTCCAGCGTTTCCTTGTGGTCCCTTCGAGTCAACATCCCATGATCCCTGACTTCTCGTCGAGAACCTGGGGTGCAGTTCTTGTATCGATTTGGATCCGACTCTTCTTGTAGCATGAATGAGAAGGACCATTATGTCATAGTCACTTCTGCGCTGTTCTTATTAATTGTCAACTGTCCGTTGTGGGTTGTCAGAACGTGCAAGTCTTACTGTCGCTATGGCCATGACTCAGTCATTCATGTACGTTCGTGTTTTCTGAGCCAAGCACCGGGCGCGTCGTTCCAAACATCACCCTGCTCAGTATCTGTTCAGGTTGTGATCGAAAAATGTGGCACCGTGCCACATGACGAATGGCTTCTTAGCTGCATACATGCGGTGACTGAGCACTTTGTTTTCAGACGGAGGTTTTGGGCGAAACTGATGCATGTTGGGTTGGGGTCGAGCTTGCCATGATGGTGCACTTTTCCAACAGTAAGCATACTTGGAGGTTCATGGGTAGTTATAAGTAAGGTTATAAGTAGGGTAGCTATAGTTATAACCTATATTAGGGCACTTATAACTCCACTTATAACTACCCATGAACCTCCAAGTAAGGCCAATAAGAAGACCCTCCGTGCAGCCAGGATCTTCAGCAACAACAGCAAACTTCGGCTCTTCACCCGGCCATCGCTGTGCTTGGATGTCAGGACTGGCAGTACATGCCTGCTTGAGGTTCGGTGCCGTGTGTCTTCCAAGCCTTCGACTATTTTCCTCTTGAAGTTTTGGCTTTCGGTTTGATGAGAAGAGGCTGTGATGCGTTTGCTGTATTCGGAATGATTTGCGAACACGGGCAGGCCGAGGCTCTAGGTGGACGCAGAAGCCCCCAACGGAATTGCAGAATCGGTTGCCACTGCTGCCCTTTCAGATCTGCATTTTCCAGCAAAGGTCGTACTGAAACCCAAAATAATAGCGAAGCACAAGCACAGCAGGTTTTGAGACTCAACACTCGCGTGATCATGGGCTTTGTACCCTGTCAATAACCTATTATAATTATAGTTATTCACAGGGACAACGCCATGATCACGTGAGTGATTAGCTGCCACGGCTCTATATAGCCAGGGCTTGGGTCGGAATTCTGATGGCCATGGGCTCTGACGGAGGTTGAGGCGTAGGTTGCGTAATGTCACGATGATGAGTCACAATGTGGCAGAGCTGCATATGGGTAGGGGTCCCTTTTAGGGTCCATGTTATAAGCGTGCCGTACTATATTGGGGACCTAAAAAGGGACTCTAGTTTAGACAGCTACCTATATGTGTCCCTGTTATTGTGTACTGCAGTCAGCTCTCTCCCATTCCTGGAGTAAAGAGCGGTCACCCTGTTAAGCCGAAGTCGATAAGCCGCCTTAGGCCGCCGTAGGTAGATATCCCCTTGCAAGCCCTCAAATCCTCATGGCCCCTTGCTTCCCCTCGAGCCCCTCACATCGAATAGAGTTGGTTTCAGGATTCGGCTTAAGAGTGTAGACTTTATGCTTTGAGGGGTTCTGGCTGTGTAAGGCTTTTGTTGGTGCTTTGGGGCTTAGGGTTTACGGCACCAGACTTGCTCTACAGCTTCTGACAGGGATTAGCATCCCCTGGCCCTGCAAGGAACCACAAAGATATGGACTGGACCAAGCTGCAGCTCTGGGAATGCGTAGACGGAAACGCTCCCTGGCCGGCTGAGAGTGACATGGGGCAGACTGACTGAAATCGGACTCAGAGCTCTGGAAGAGGCTTACCCAGCTTTGTGGGAAGCGGCATTACAGAAGCTTCTGTGGCGGCTCATACTTTGAATAGTTTGGAATATGATTGCGGGTTATGCGAGGTTAAAGTTAAAGTGTGAGTTGTTGCGAGAGTTTTCGAGACAAGAGTGATTATAAGTGAAATGTGTATGTGTTGTGGTTGCTAGAAATGTCCGGGATTGTCGGGGTAGAGGTACCGGAAAAACTGCGAAGGCACCTTGATGGTAGGAGCTAGGATTAGGGGGATCCTTGGGGATATAGACCCTCTCAATAAGGTCCCTTTTAAGAGAGCCAGAAGTAGGGTTCAGAAGGGGTACCCTTTAAGGGGTACCCCTAATCATACTACCTAGATGGTGCAGAGAAGGCGGTATGTTGAAGCGCTGTGAGGCAGATTCTGGCTCCCTGGCCCTCTCGTCTCCCCACCAAGTGGCAGCCAGATGCTCAACCAGGATGAACCCGATTCCCACACAGAGCCTCAGGGATCCCAGTGGTGAAGACCTTCGTTTGTTGCAGACTTTGTGTGGGTTGCGGTTTTCACGCTTTTTCGTTCGATTGTCTGAGGTTCAGAACTTCACGCATTCGAAAGAACAGCTGCTGCAGTGGTCCCACGATCCCAGCAAATGCTGCTCGGTCAGTTCATAGGAATTAGTGTAGCGAACCAGCTGTCAACACGTCCTTGCACAGAGTGTGGTCGGCTGCAGTTTTTTCAGTTCTCCCTTCTTAGTATTGCCCCTCTGACGTGGGGCCTACACGCTCGGATTGGCCAGCCTGGATCCGCTATACTTTCTCTGCATACCACGCACGGAAGCCGGGGAATGCAACCGTCAGCTGCTCAAGAACAAAAGCCTTCGACCTTTTCGTGCAAGGCGTGGATGTGGCATATCATTCTACGAACGCCGGCACCAACTTGCAAATTGCCCCGTGCCCGAAGGTGGCGTCGCCACTGTCCCTTGGCTTTGAGTCTTCGAAAATCCCAGGGGCGAGGCTTTTATGGCTCAGATATTTTGCATCCTGTCTTGTTGTTGCACCGGCCTTGTTTCAGCACTAGAGTGTCAGTACGTCGACATCAGCTTCGAACTGGAGGCCCCGCGAGTTGAGCTGTCAGCCATGACTGCACATATTCATGCACGGCACTGGCCGCGCGCAACTCGGGTTTACCATAGAGATGCAACACAGCACACCTAGACAAGGAAGTGGTGAATGCGGAACTTCCCTTCCAACCCAAGAGGAACGAAACCCTGAAACGCGAAGAGACAAACCAGAGCATCCCATGATCTCAAAAATCCAAGTCTCCCAGATCCTGCAGCCTAACCCCCGCCCCTAAAACCCTCTTGCACAGACCCCAGCTAGGAAGGACCCTTCCGTGTCCCGAGGCAGAGCTTCGAGTTCGAGAAGTGTCGCTTCGATTGCCCTCGGCAGCTGAAGTGGAGGACGGACGATCGGTGCTTGGCGCTGCAGGGATCCTTGGCCGATTTGAGGGTTTAGGGTTTAGGGTTATGGTTAGGGTTTATAGGGTTTAGGGTTAGGGTTTAGGTTCGGCCCCAAGCAGTAACAAGAGATTGTATTTTCTGGAATCTCTCTTTCTTTAGTTCTGCTATCTATCTAGCATTATCTAGCCATATACCTGTGTGTTTGTATATATGTTTTGGTACGTATGCATGTGTGCTACAGTGTGCTACCTGTCCTCGGACTTTGTTGCTGAGACACTAGAGAATTCGAAAGTAAGCAGATCTCTACGTTACCGCGAGGTTGGTCCATCGAGGAGGGCACGAGTCTCGTCCCGGGCCCCTGTGAGGGCGCTGCTGGGACAGAAGAGTGCGGAGCGGTTTATTCTCAAGCTTCATCAAGATGCTAATCTCTTAACTCCTAGCCACCAAACGCCACGCCTAGCCCTTGGAGGTTCATGGGTAGTTATAAGTCGGGTTATAAGTAGGGTAACTATAGTTATAACCTATATTAGGGGACTTGTAACTCCACGTATAACTACCCATGAACCTCCACGTAGCCCTAGCCTGAACCCCTAAACCCTAAACCCTAAACCCTAAACCCTAAACCCTAAACCCTTCAACCCCAGCGAGGTGGATGCTTCCAGCCAGGCTTCCGGGCTTTGCGCTGCCGGTCATGTGGGTAGTTGTCAAAATTATGGTCCCTTTTGGGGTACCCTAAGTAATAGGTGCCGTATTAGAATAAGGACCCAAAAAGGGACCATAATTTTGACAACCACCCACATAGTTGTAAATAGGGTTATAAACAAGTACGATAATTATAGCTATAGCCTTATAACTACCCCTAAACCTCCAATCAGATCAAGCAGGCCCATTCAGGTTTTGGCATGAGGTGCAGGGTCTAGGGGCAGGGTGATTCAGAATCCCTGCGCATTTTAATGTGGGGACCTCAATAATCAGAATCGGGTTTCGAGGGTTCCTGATTATAGCTACAGATAAAAGCAAAAAAAACCTAAACCCCATTCTGTTTATTAAGGCCCCTTTATTAGCTCCTTCCTCGAATCAATGCTTTGCGGAGCCGGACAGCTCGAAGCATCGTTGGAGCTCTGACACGTAAAGTGCCCCTCAAGCGCTGGCGAAGCTAGTTGCAAGAGCAGGGTTGCAACCAAAACCATGGTACAGAGGCCTCAAAGATTACATGGGGCTCCTCTACTTCTAGTATACCACAAAACCCGACTCTGAGCATGAAGGCCATTTTGTTCTAAACCCTAAACCCTAGGCCCTAAACCCATCACTCACTCCGAAATTCACGTGCTGAAACGCACCTTCGAGGATGGCATTGGCCCGACGCAGTTCATGTTCAACACCACAGGCTCAGAGCTCAGAACACGCCAAGCCGCCATCTTCTTGTGGTCCATGGTTTCTATACGGCCTAGAGCGTTCAGGGTTGAGGGCTCAAGGTAATTATGACCCTACACCCTAAACCCTAAACCCATAATTGATAAGCATATCGGGGCAGGGGATCGGTCTCGTACATGTTGGAAAGGATGTTGGCGCAATCCGGAACGGAGCCAGCGCAGGCAGAATCCTTCGCTGTCTCTCGTCTACCGGCGATATAAGGGGAATCGGGCGTCGTGATCAGATCCGCACAGAGACAAACTCTCAGTTATGGGAACCCTTACAGCTCTTGATGAAATCTGCCCAGGTGGGAGGATGCAGCTGGCTCTGAACGATAAGTTCTGCGCCTGCTTGAACGCCCGGTCAGAGCTGCGTATAGCCGTCTGCAACTCCTCCGACGCGAGGCAGGACTTCGAGTACCGGCATGGCGGCATCTTTCACAGTAAGCACGATCCTGGGTTCTTGTTCAGCAATTTGTTTCAAGCCACTTTCAAGAGTAGGACTAGGAACATTGAGTAGTCAATATGGAAAGAATGAACTTCGCTTAATAAGCTAAGCTGCTCCTCAACAAGAGCCCAGGATCAGCATCTTGTTCCCAGCTCCCCCGTGATCGCAATAGAGCGGTCGAGAACCGACTTCATGGAGATTTCGGCCTGCCAGATTCTCTATCACCCGGTGGAGTGCTCAGTGATCGGTTGTACAGGTCATGTTCTTCATATGTGCTTCCGGTTTTGCTAGCGGCTGACTGCGGTTCGGTTTCTAAACCCTAAACCCTAAACCCTAAAACCCTAAACCCTATTCGGGTTGCCGGGCTGCCTGCTATGGGGCCACGCAGCAGTCCTCCAAGGGGTACCTTTCACTTCTCCCGACAAGAGCCCCCAAAAAAAACCCAAAGCCCGAACCCGATGCGTAGACTACGTAGACCACATGGGAGTTTCTGAAATTAGGGGTACCTTATTTAGGGGTCCTTATAATAAGGATCCTACTATTAAGGGTACTATATTGGGGTCCCCTATTTTCGGAAACCCCCACATAGCACGAGCTCCAAACCCTAAACGGGTGCTGAGGTGGAGTCCTTCCCTGTCCCATCGGGCTTGCCGTGCCCACGTCAGCTCAAGTGGGATCCAGGCTGGCCTAGCTGGCCAAAGGGTGCTAATGGCGGCCCGAAAGAACATCTTTGCCTCGGAACCTTGGGTGCTGAGCAGTCATCAACTTTGTAAAGTCCGAAATCTGAGAAGCAAACAAAAGGCAGTAATCGTACCAATAGTCAATGATAGCTATTTTTGGCATCAGTTGTCAGAACCATAAGAAGAAGACCCTATAGCCCTGCCCCCCGTACCCTCCTAAAAGCTAAATCCCAAACAGTACTTCTAATCCAGACCCAGAATAGGCCCCCAACCAAACAGGACTCTTCGAAAGTCTGAACTCCCACTAAGGGACGCTGAGTTGGCACATTGGGAACGGTGAACCTGTGGTGCTTGCACCTTGCGAAGCTGGCACGCGAGTGCCTTGATCCGACATAGTTATAAGTTATAAGGGCTCTATACCTATAGTCTCCTATGTAGTTCCTTTTTGGGCTACCTTTTAGGATCCTTAGTATAGAACTGGTTAAACCAAAAAAGGAACTACCATGGAGACTATAGGTATACCTGGGTTTTAGTTGGGTGTCAGGATGCTTCTTGGCGATTTGTGGCAAAATAAGTTCATATTCTTTTTGGATTACCGCCCATGTCGGTTTTGGGTTCAGTGCGGTTCAAGACAGTAAGGGGACATGAAGTTCCTTGTCCGTACCAAAACCCCTCCCAGCAAAGTGAACACACTTTGAGACATACGGGGTTTTCCGAAAAGAGGGGACCCTAATATAGCACCCTAAATAGTAGGATCCTTATTATAAGGACCCCAAAATAAGGTACCCCAATTTTCGGAAACTCCCATACCTGCGCTGTTTCCTGTTGTGGGGTCTAGCGACCCAAGGACCGAAGTTGCCGAATAGAGAGGTCTGAATCCTGAGTGAGACATCCCTCTTAGTTCCTGTGTAGTTATGATATAATATTATTGTATCTCAGAACCGCAATATTTCTCAGGTTGGTCAGCGGCAGCATTGGCTCATCGATAAGGAAGAAGGCAAACTGCGACTTGCATCTAGCCCCAGCTACTGCCTGGAGACGCACCACAAGCACAAAGATCGCTTGCCACTGCACCTGTGGCAATGCTTGGACGGCGATGACAGCCAGGCGATGCATTGAAATCGAATTAAGTCTATCATGAAAGTGACCTGACGTCGTCCTCAGCAGCCTTGCGCGATCTCGGAAAGAACTCGCCAGCCCGACATCCGAGCCTCTACAGTACAGTGTCCATGTCTCCTAGTGAAAACATTGCCCTTAGTAGTGCAGCAGGTTTTCCACATCCCGGACGCCATCATATCCTCGGCGCAGAACATTCAGCAGGGGCGCCGATGTCTCACCGTTGCGGAGGAGGTGCCCCGGAACCGAAGTTTCGGAGTCAGGAGGTTGAGTCTCTGAGTGCCTTTTGGTTGTACACGGCTGGTGGGTTAGGTGCCGGAGCTCTGAAGGCCGATATGGGCGTACATAAACTCTATGAAGCCCGGCACACTAGCCCAAAAAAACCCTAAACCCTGTAGTCTGTTTTGTGTTGCGAGTTTTGCCTGTCTCTGTCGTCTACAAGCCTGAAGGCCACAATTTATTTCGCACAAAACGCACCTTGAGAAACATCTCCAACCTGATGAGCAGGCAAACCAGCCAACAGATCCGCACGCATTGGTTTGTATACCAGCAGAGGGGAAGAATCTTTTCTGTTCGTGGCTTCGGGGGACTTGAGAAACATGGTTCCAACATGCTCTTCGACAAGAATTCGTACTGTTCTCGTCGTCGACATACTGTCAACCATCTTAACAGTGCCAGTAGTCTTGAAATTATGTAACAGGAACTGTGACAGTGTTACATTTGAGGTGAGATAGGATAAGATAGGGGGCTCAATGGCACAATCCTCTCATCTAATGCCGTCTCTCCCTCTCTCTCGCTCTCTCACTCTCTCTGCTTCGCTTGCAGAAGCTCCTAATTACAATTCCAGCAAAGGCGAAACCAACAACAGTAGCCCTTGCCGGCCTGGCTGAACGACCTGTTGCTGTGGATACAAGTGGAGCCACCCACGATCCTGAAAGAAGCGTCCTTGAGGCGATCAGAAACCCAAGGGCATGGCTTGTGGATTACAGGGGATATAGGGTACACAACCAGCTGGAGTATCAAGACGTATGGGGATCTGCAAGCAAGCATGAGGCAACAGTCACAACGCCTCGTAGAAAGTGACCTCAGTTGAGGCATGGCGGAGGTTGTGCTCAACCAAATAATGAACAAGAGCACCAAACAAAGAAACCAACGAACCCGGGAACAACAAACCCATCAACCAACCATCCAACCAGCCTACCGACTGACCTACCTACCTGCTCCCCACCCAAACAGCCATCCATCCGCATGCATACATACACACACAACCACAGACTTACTTACAGACATACATGCATACACATAGATACTTACTTACGTACTTACTTACTTACTTACTTACTTACTTACTTACTCACATCCCCTGCAGTTGAAGCATTTGCGCTTGGCTGAGGCGATAGACGAAGCCCATGCCTACACAAAGCTGGAGATGGTTCCCTGCGGCTGGCAATCTTACCGACAGCAGAGATTCTGGACAGATGTGTGCGAGGAGAAGGAACATGCTCAGCCTCCACCTCCGAACCGTTTGGGCTCGTCACTCGATGTTGTCCATCGTCGTTGTGCTTTTTCCTTGTTTTCTTGTTTTGCCAGTAGTCTCAATTCTTCACGAAAGCAGACAAACTCCAGTCCTGGGTTCTAAGTCCCGCAAACACTCACATGCTCCCGAAGGCCCCCCGGGCACTCCGAGCTAGAACTCCCAATGTTGGAGAGACCAGGTTTCTGGTCATCGGGGACTGGGGCTGGGACCCCCTCGTGCACGGGAACGTCGAGAAGGCAGTCTTTCAAGTTCATCAGATAAAAGCGGTTCAGGGTTTAGGGTGTAATTCGGGCTGAGGATTTTCGGAGTTGTGCCTACGCCCAGGAAGGTCTTCTTTTTCCAAAATTCAGAAGACAGTATGGTACACACTATGCTCCCGCTGTGGTGCTACACACCCATTCTTTACAGTCGCGATCGGGCCCCGTGCTCCGGAAAGCTCGATGCCTCGAATATGTCTGAATCCCGCCAGTACGTAGTACGTGCATGTGGGGAAGTGTTGGTCAGAACATAATATAGAGGCCTTAATAATTAGAATAGGGTTTTGGGGTACATTATACTATAAGTATAATAGGGAACCCCCCAAAACCCTATTCGAATTATCAAGGCGCTTATATTATGGTGGGAAGCTTGTTGGTCGCTGTGATCCTCATGGTCTCCTCGGGGGTTTTGTTGCGGTCTCTTGGTGTTTTTCAGGCGGTGTCGGCTTCTGATGAGTAGCTCTCTAAATTAGGCACCCTTGTTAAGTCCCCAGTATAGTGCGGCACCCTTATAAGAAAGGCCCCTAGAAGGGGAACCTAATTTAGAGAACTACCCTTCTTGGGATCATGGTGACCAAGTCGTCCTGGTGGTCCTGGTGGGCATGGTCGTAGTGGTGCTAAAGTACTGTTTGAGCATCTACACTCGCAGTGTTGGCAGGGAGCCCTAAACCCCTAAACCCTCATAAACCCCAAACCCTAAACCCTAAACCCCTAAACCCCTAAACCCTAAACCCTAAACCCTCATAAACCCTAAGGTGCACAAGTCTGCGTTCAACTCTGAGGCAGACTGTCAGAAGGCCATCGGCGCTGCGATGGCCCACAAGTTCAACGAGCTAGAGGCCGGGTTTAGGGTTTCGAGTTTAAGATTTAGGGCTTGGGGTTTAGCGTTCAGGGTTTAGTACTGTAAAGTTTCGGGTTATTTAGGGATGTTTGGGGTCTGGGGTTTAGGTTCCTACAAAGTGGCCTATGTTTTGGTGCTCTCCTCTGGAAGCTGAAGACGAGTATGAAGCAGGGTACCCAAACTCTCAAGGGATTGCGGGGAAGCTAGTCAGGTTTTAGGTTTAAGGTTCTTGTGAAGTGGGTCACAGTTTCCCTAAACCCCAAACCCTAAACCCTACTTGGAGGTTCATGGGTAGTTATAAGTAGGGTTATAACTGGGGTAACTATAGTTATAACCTATATTAGGGGACTTATAACTCCACTTACAACTACCCATGAACCTCCAAGTACGATCCCTAGACCCTAGACCCTAAACCCTAAACCCTAAACCCTAAACCCTAAACCCTAAACCCGATCAGTCTGCTTCTCTCGGGCTCTGAACGATGAGTAACTTTCTGTCAAGCTGGCGGGGCTTGTAGGGCAGTGTAAGATTTCCTAACGAACTTTAGCATCTAGTACCCAGAGACTCCAATATCCGGTAATTAGGGAATATACCTTAAATCCTAGATCCTACTATAATTTAAGGTATATCCCCTAATTAAGGGATATTGGAGTCTCTGGGTAGTCACAACCAATTTAGGCATATACTTGCAGTTAACTCATGAGGCAACGGTAGCTCCAGTTTTAAGACATTGCAGCATATACTCAGTATCGCAGCGAAGCTCAGAGCTATAGCAGATATACCGGTCACATAAATCAGAGCTCTAGTTGCCTTCATCGCAGTAACGAAACAAGAATGTGTTGATGAAGAAGGTCGAAACATAGAAGCAGCAAGCCATTACATATTGCGCCGGTTGGTGAGCCTTTCCACCTCCTCGGCTGGAAAGGCTCGCATCAGAAGGATTCACAGTTGAAGCAGTGTTTAGTTTAGTGATGCTGAGCTGGGCTGATTGCCAGAAGGCCTTTGGAGGTGCCCGTTTCAAGCCAACAGCCAACGTCTTTTACGCGATGTCTCAGGATGTCAAGTTTATCATCAATGTCGGCGATTCGTTCTATCCGGACGGGGTCTCAAGTCCCGGTGACATTCGGTGGAGGACGCAGTGGATTGACAGATATCCAGGCACGCGGGCCTCGGATTGTTTGTGTTTAACAAGCCTGACTAGCTTCACTCGATCTGCGTTCGTTTTTATCGGTGTGTCTCGATCTTTTGCAGTGAGGACCAAGCTTTGTCAAAGTATGTTTCGTAGTCTCTCTCTCTCTCTTTCGCTCTCTCTCTCTCTCTCGCTCGGTCTCTCTCTCTCTCTCTCTCTCTCTCTTTCTCTGGACACATTTCGATCTAAAGTGCTCTGCTTTTGTCTCGATCCATTTCTCCTCTATACCTGGGCCGGGGCCTTCGACGACGACGACGACGTACTGACGTACTGCCTACTTCTGCTACCCTGCTACTGCGACGGCATCGATCTCATGCGGTTGCAGGACTCACAGTTGAGCTATCATCTTGGACAACAGATGATGGCATCGAGAGTTTGTCTTCATATGCTGTTGCTGTGTTTGCTGTGTTGTTTGGGAACCCTTGCATTGCCAGACATCCTGCGCAAAGTTCCGTGGTACAGCGTGTACGGCAACCACGACACTTGGACATGGTTTATGGTTCCCCAACGCGGCAAAGACGAAGACTAAGCCCCAAGCCTGTGGTGGTTTCTGTCCTGAGCAGCTGGATGCACCCAGCATGACGCCTCAGTCCAGCTCTGCTGCGCACAAGAAGTTGATACTTGTGGGCTGCTTCTGCACTGTGGGACGAAGTTTAGGGCTGCATTATGTTGTAATTGAGCTTCGAGCAAGAACGCCGAAACATCGAATTGACGCTGGTGAGATCAGATCCTGCAGCCCATCTGATGTCTTGTGTATCTTGTGCATCCTTTGATGCTAGGCATAGATGTTGCACAAGAATAATACATTATGCCTACCATAATGACACCTCATCGATCGTTGCCTGACCGCGACAGGGTTCCGGCTTAGATACCATCTTGGCAAAGGATTGTTTCACGACAAACGGAAACCTAAAAGAAAAGCAACATGTTCAGCAAAGCCGATGAAGCATCTGCTGAAGAACTCCGTGAGACAACGCAGCACTGGCGCGACGTAGGCCTACAACACCCCGTCCGGAAGCCCTGGCAAGGGATTCCATCCTAGGCTCTAAACCCAAGCCATGAATTGCCCTGTGGGCCCCAGACCCTATCAGCCCTAAAAGCCGCAGAAATCCTCCGTTCCGAGGACCTCCACCACGACCCGGGCATGTGCGAGGATGAGGCTTCGTGTCGGGGTGCTTCATGGGGTTTTGGGTTTTGGGGTTGGGGGTTTTAGGGTTTGGCTGGTTTTTGTCCACTTCCTCTCCTCCCCTGCTTCTTTCAGACTGTATGCCTGTCTCTTTCCCCGGCCCGGCCGCTCTCTCTCTCTCGCTCTCTCTCTCTCTCTCTCTCTCTCTCTCGCTCTCTCTCTCTCTCTCTCTCTCTTTCTCTCTCGCTCGCACTCTTTGCGTGGTTCTCGCTGCCTCTGCCATTACAATCTTTGCAACTCACAGATACAACACTGAAAATGCACGTTGGCATTTACGGAAATGACAGGCAACGAGAGAAAGACTGAAGCAGGACGAAGGTAGTGAGGGAGAGCAAAAGGCCGGCGCACAGCTTGGCGACATCTTCTCTCGGAAAAACGGCCTCTTCGAACGCTGCTTTGGCTCAGATGAAGTGTGGCATCCCCATTTGGGATTCAGAGGTTTTGGGATGCGGCGTCAAGCAACGAAAGACTTTTCTTGGACGGTCCTTCTGGCAAAAATCCCGAGCTATGCATGGAGCGGTTTCCAGCCGTCAGCTGTTCTCAGGATTCTACATGCCAGACTACAACTGGCACTATAAGCACGAGGACCGTGCGAGTTGGTTTGCAGAGCTCCAGGCTGCAGGGTTTTGGGCAGTGGCGTTCTGGTAATCTTTTCGCAGTGGTTTAGGGTTTAGGGTTTAGGGTTTAGCGGAGCTGGAGGTTGGCAGACATGTTGGGTTGTTTCATGTTTTGCTGCGCCTGTTTGATCTGAAGCAAGACAGGCAGCATGGCACTGCCAGTGGGCATCGTTGTCATTGCAAGCATCACCATCATATTTTATCATTTTAGCATAGGAGTATATCATAGCATATCACATCATGTCATATCATATCAAATCATATCATATCATATCATATCATAAACTGTCGTATCCCTTCCTGTCTTATCATATCATTTCCTGTCATATCATATCATATCATATCATATCAAATCAAATCAAATCAAATCAAATCATATCAAATCATATCATATCATATCATAACATGTCATGTCATGTCATGTCATGTCATGTCATGTCATGTCAGATCAGATCATATCATATCATATCATATCATATCATATCAAATCAAATCATTTCACATCATATCATATCATATCATGTCATATCATGTCATATCATGTCATATCATATCATATCATATCATATCGTATCATATCATATCATAGCATAGCATAGCATAGCATTGCATATCATATCATATCATATCATATCATATCATATCATATCATATCATATCATACCAGATCTTATCTTATCTTATCTTATATTATCTTATCTTATCTTATCTTATCTTATCTTATCTTATCTTATCTACCTATCTATCTACCTATCTATCTATCTATCTATCTGCCTGTCTGTCTTTCCATGTATCTATTTATCTACCTATCTA